AAATTACTTGAAGGTGGTCGATTTTAGTTTCGTATTATTTGATATACAATTACTTGGCCTGTAATATGTCATGTTACTCACCTATTAATTTATAACAAGGACACAACTGATGCTTTATCTGATTTATTTGTCTCTCTTCGCCAACTTGTTTAAGTTGTGTCTGCTATTTTAATTGATTTGTAATTGTAACATTTGTAAAGTTGTTTACGTGGTTATGAACCACGCCATAAAACATATGGAGAGTAGAAATAAAGCTTCACGTATTCTTAACCTCGGATCTAGCGGGGTTGAGTAGTCGGTTTTATTTTCCGGTCCTTTACCCCGGGAAATGATCCCTGGCACCAATAGGACAGGAGGCTGGGTCATGTAAATATCCATTCTCCAGCCGAGGAATGAACCCTGGTCATCTGACCCCTGAGAAGTTACTATACCGACATTTCGACGATGTTGTTCTGGGTTGTGACGACGTGTAGACTCGTAGGTAGAAACCAACAAGTATCTAATCGTATGATTTGATGTGATTATAAAGATTTCTGTCTTCTGGGTTGTTGCGCTGTGTAGTCTGGTCGATGTTAACCAACGTTTCAGAGGTCATACTGCCTCCATCATCAGGGCGATGAATATCGGACATCGACCAGACTACACAGCGCAACAACCCAGAAGACAGAAATCGTCATACTCATCGCCCTGATGACGGAGGCAGTATGACCTCAGAAACGTTGGTAAACATCGACCAGACTACACAGCGTAACAACCCAGAAGACAGAAATCTTCAAGTGTCTAATCCTCTCCTATTCCTTTTAGAAACAAAATTAAGATGCAATTGATTAACAACTCTGTTATTACATCTAACTAACCGTCTGGACTTTTTACGGAACGCGTAACAATGACTTCATATTGGCCTAGAGTTTTACACAGACTAAGCAGGTACTAACGCCGCTTTTGCGCGTTTCAAAAATTTCACTGCACTAGTTGCAACTTTCTCTAAGGTTATGACTCTTTAATAACAGGATTTGCAGTTAACTTCACATCCTGGGTTTATTTCCTGCACTATGAAGGCGTATTAGGCACGTGAAAATGAGTTACTAAGCTTAACTTAATTTGTTTTTAGAATCAGTGTCAGATGTAGACATCACACGCAGTCGACTGAAATTTTGCTGAGTGAAACACGAAAAGTACGTAAAATGAATCCTACATTTCTGTCGAATACCTGAGCATAAAGGCCATTTGATGATCCAAGCGTAGATTTACGGGCATGTTAAAATGGACCTTAAATAACTGGGGTGCAACAGTGTGGAATAGTTTAGAACACTGACCGGTAGCGGGTTTTTTACGTATCAAATAGAAACTACAGGGAAATTCTTGAGAAGCCAAGTGACTTACTTAACGGTCTCTGAATAAGGATTAATAAATTCTTGGTCTTCTGCATGGAAATTAATAAAACAGACACGTGTTATCTGCCCTCTGTTAAGATGGTGTTCCAGTCGTTACGCTAAACCGATTTTTCAGATTACAGACTGGATTTATATTGCAACATAACTTTTAAAACTAATAAATATAATTAATACGCGTAGGCGATAAAACACTTCCGAAACAATTACATCTTATTAAAGATTACATGAGCTGATAACAGTATGCTCGAGGTTTAAAGCGTGGGTTTTCCCCGCTTGGATACTGGGACCGTGGGTTCGAATCCCGATCAAGGCATGGGTGTTTTTCCTCGCGTTTGTGTTGCGCTGTCCTGTGTAGGCAGAGACCATGGATCTGGCCCATCACCCGTCCAAGGAGTCCTACCAACTATCAAAAAAATGTTCTAAAACCTTACCTAAGGAGGCGATCGAGGTTCTCTGAGAACCATGGAATCTCGGGAAAAAATTAGTTACAAGTAATGTTTTCCCAGTGCTAAATAAAGCACCACGTAATGTTGCAGTCTGAAGACTTACAGACGTATCTAACTCCATGTAGTCTTAACCTCCACATTTGTTGGAGATAAGTGACTACTTCTCGACACCCACCAAGACATGCTTAACAACCAGGGCCGGAACACATACGTAAGAAACTCAGAGCCATAAAATTAAGATGTCACAACCATACATTTCACAATTTCAGTGTCCAAACGTTGGCAGACACTGGGTTTTCTAACTCATGCCGCCAGAACTTTAATAATTTTAAACAGACACATTATATATCCTATACTGCTTTGTATAAATTACTTTTACGAACAAAACTCAACAGATTTCGCGATTTCTTTCAGCGTAAGCAATGAAATGTGATATGAAGATGGGACGAGAAAGCACCAAGTAATATAAACTTAGTTCAAAAATAGCTTCTGTATAATACGATAAAGCATTTGGACACTGTCATAAACTTTTACCAAGATCCAAGGCATACAACACATCAACTAGTAAGAACGTCTTCCAACGAAAGGCGAAAAGGACGGGGTTTTCATTCTCATTTGCAAATTCAGATAAACTACATTAAAACAGACAATGAATATTTCCTTTCTGGTCCCCGCTGTTTCGTTATTCATGGTCATCCTCGTTAGGCTCTGAAGCTATAATATCTAGTGATTTGGTTAAGCGTCGTTACATAAGTTGCGAATAAATAACGCCTATAAGAACCTATAAATATAGACATACCCGGCACATTTACAACGTCGGTGGGTCTTCTAAAGGAAATGTGATTTGAGTATCCTACACTGGAGGACCAAGTAACTTCACGGAAAGAACTTCTTCTTGAGTAACCGAAAACTGCCCAAATGGTCAAGAATTCTTCCTCTCTCGTATTAAGGAACCTGGTAAATTACAGTATTTACAACGGCTCGATCTTGGATCTCGTCCTAACACACTTGAATCATATGCACACCCTACTTCTTTAACATCCAATTAATATCATTCTCTTGTCTGTGCCTAAATCTCACAAGTGGTCCTTAGCCTTCGGCCTAAACCCTGTGTCTGTCCCTATACGTGCTACATGCCCTGTCCACCTCACTCTTCTTTATTTCATCGGCAGACGTTTAACGACGTTTCAGAGGTTCTTGCTGCCGTCATCATCAGAGTTATGAGTAGCCTGAGGAATTAAAAGTCGTCGTGGAAGCTTTAATTCTTGACTTAGAGGTTTTCATGTTTGGAGACATCGAACAACTGTAACAAACGCATCTGAAATATATATTTGGACGACTGACATAATTTATTCTTCACCTTAATTATGTGTGAATTATTGTAAGCTTTAGTCATACTGCGAAAAACTTTCAGTTTTAGAAAATGAATTTAGAAAAGATCACCTGCCTTAATAAAGTAGTGTATTTAGAAAATGAATTTAGAAAAGATCACTTGCCTTAACAAAGTAGTGTGATTTGCAGAAATTACCCTGCTCCATTTTTTCACGAAGATTACAAGGATCTAGGCGCAGGTCTCTATGATACAGTAGTCGCTTTCGTTGTTTTGTTAGGTTTAAAATCTGGTTCGTACCTGATTCACCGATCGCTAAATCAGTCCACTGATCCTGAAATTGATACAGGTAACAATGTTTAATATGCGACACTAATTAGACTGGACTAAACGTAAGTAGCGGAAGAGAAATGGTTGCTGCACAGGACATAACTTTTCCAGGCCAATTAAATTCGCTGCAATTTCAGTTCTCATGCAGTCTTCAAGATTCAGATACTGTGCGTTGCCTCTGTGGTAATGATGTATTAATGGCATCGAAATAGCTACAGTTGTCAAAGAAACATGTTTCTGTGTCTTTGTTTTTCAACAACTGGGGTTTTGTAAATATTCTGTGAAATAATGCCGGATTTATACAAAGCCGGTCTATTTTTTATTCGTTACCAAGGTCGCGATATTAAACTACTTTACGAGAAAAAACCTCACACTGTTTGATAAACAAGGACTTCTGCATGAGAAATTTATAAACCTTTAAGTTCTTTAAGTACAATAAAGCTAATGTAAGAACAGCTATAGGCATGTTTTATGGCGATGTATCTCCCAAGTGTGCACATGCTGGTATTCTTATAATTTCTAACTTCATGAATCACACTTTTCCTTTAGAAGCTAACAGTCGTTTAGCTGATCAAAATATTTCCAGCCTTTTATGGAATCCAGCGATTTATTGAGGTGTTCTTTTCATCTTGTTAATGTAACAAATCGAACAATATAAATCCAGTTCTAACATCACACAATATATTTTTTCGTCAACCGTTTTAATATTTTATTCCTATCTACACCTAAGTCTACCAGCAGCCTTCTTCCTTCACGTTTTAAATTTCTGCCAAGCTTCTTAAGTACAGTCAGTTCAAAGCCAAAGTAAAACTGCCATCTCCTCACAGTACGATTTTAACCCCTGATCCTTAGTATAATCCGCTTTGAGACTATATCCGAAACTTGTGTTATGAAAACCAGAGCTATGTCAGCTGTTTTCAATTATCTGTCTCCTATCTTTTTTAATAACAAATACAATAAAATAATAGCTGTGAAATTTGAGGAATGTCATAGTGAAAACAATGAGATTTATAATAATGCAATAAAACCCATGTAAAATTACATCTGAAGTTCTTTTTATCAGTCTCTTTAACTACAAATGTCCGTTTAACATTTAACTAAATAAGTTTCAAGCTAAGATTTTTGAAACATACGTGGACTTACGCGTTTCGATATCTTTAATGGCTTCCCGCTGTAACAAAAACTTGCCAAACCAAGCATCTGATCCTCAGTCTGTAGATCATAACCTGCCGACGTCGAATAGCGTCGTTCAACTTTCGTCCCTATTTTTCCACTTTTCTCCCAGACACCTGCCTTTGTGGCTTATTAGTATTGTTCAGCTCAAATTAAGTATTGTTCATTGCAATAAATGAGAACTTATTGTTCTATGTGCAGTGTAGGCCATTACACAGAAGACCTGATCTTTCTTTACTGACGTTGTGCATAACGTCAGATCGCAATAACATTAAACACTGGCTTCAGATTTATGAAAAACTGATTTTGTTTCACGAAATTTCGCTTAACGCTTATATTGCACGTCTCTCTAACCTGCATATTGTAATCAGCTGATCCTGACTTCTCACTTGAATACCTTGCAACACGCCCACAAATGCTTCAGTGATATTACATAGACGACATAAGTCCATTGATCTGTGCTTCCGTGATACTGTTTAGTCTTAATGATGACCACGGCCCGCGACTTAACCGCTGTCAAAGCAGATTCCCGCTCTCAACTTATTCACATAGGCCCAGTCTTGCGAAAGACCGGGAGCCTCTGTAATCATGCGTACCTGAAAGTTCATGTCTCCGAGCCACAGTGATTAATTACTATTATTCTATGCAGTAACCAAAGAGGAGCGTTTGTGTCTGCCCTTTTTTAGTTATTTAGTTTCTATCTTTTTATTACAATTCATAAGCATAAAGGACTTTTGTTGCAGACTTCGAAGTTACATATTTCATACTTCTATTTGTTCATACATTGATTTACTGCTAATATCAACTGCTGAGATTATGTAACATGGAACGAAAAATGATGCATACCGACAGTAAATCGAATTCTAAATCGATTAGATTCTGAGTCAGTAATTTATCACGCAAAAAGTAACAAATTTGTTAGACTATAAATTTATATAATAATAATTATAATTAATATTGATACCTCAAATTCAGACTACAGAAGGTGTATGTAATGAAAAAAACATGATTTTAGTACGACCCGAACCTGGTATTACAGGACCTGATCACTGAAGATTCAGAGACAACAGGAAAAAGTAAACGTTTAACAATAGCAGTGGGACTGGAAACTTCTGAAAGAGCTGGCTATAGAATGAACACAAGTAGAATGCCAAATTCGGCACTGGAATAAAAAAATCCTGAGACCCGAAGAAAAGAATAAGAGACCGAAATACTAGAAAAAGGTTTAGGATTAGCCAATTAAGAATCCTGCATAGTTCATGAAGAAACTGTTATATTTAACGAAGATGTTCTCTCTGTTCAAATCGCCCTCCACATACAGATTAAAGAATTGTACAACTCACAACTTCAAAAGAAAATGTAGCTTATTCATTGCCTCCCACGTAACTTCTATCTGTACAACAAAACATAGCTCTCGACAATGTCAGATTGTTGAACAAATGTCACACTATATTCGCATGTTACATGCAGTCAGTGCCTACGTGTGTCATAAACGTGGTGATCAAAGTGAAGCACAACATATATGATTTATACGACACAGAATTAATGGTATAATTAATTATACAGATGGAAAGACAAATCAGACCCTCACAGGACCTTCATTCTGAAATTTCGCAGTGGATACCAGACCTACGCACGTTAGTTACGATAAGATTAAGAACTTTATATAACCCACCTCTTGAAGCAGTTGCTTGTGGGCCTAATGGTCGACTTTCTTTTCGCACTGGATGCAGCTCTGCTCTTAAGGGTATTGACTGCGAATGTGCACGCCAGGGAGACACCAAAGTTACATCTGACAAGATACCTAAAATCATTCTTAGCATCTCTCTCACTATCTTCCTGTCTTCCTGCTGGATAATAGATGATCTCACAACGGAACAATTTATGAAGATGACTGCCTTCTGGGATGTTGCGCCGTGTATGAGTCATCGTCCTGATGATGGAGGCAGTAACCACCTCTCAAAGGTTGGTCAGTTTCTAACAGACTACACGGAGCAACATTCCTGAAGACAGCCATAATCACCGCCGTGAGGACCTTAAATCTTTCGAAATAATTGATGTCTACTACTGACAACAACGTACCCTTTAATACACACGGAAATCTGTGTCTTTGCTGTTTCTTCGCTACAAAACCTAATACTGTTTAATGCATATAACGATCTATTGAGTATTTACGAGCTTTATGACTGCGGGGAGCAAAGGCGGCAAGTTCCAATATAAGAGATGTGTGATTTCGCATTCTTCTTGTTTTCTTTGTGATATTTATGCTTTTGCCAAGTTCCGCTCATGACACATACTCGTCTTTTATTGCCCAGTGAGGTGTACGACAGTCCTGACCAAGCATCACTCGGTTTCGAATTTGATTTTTCATCTCTGACGCAGCACTGTCTGGTTTCGGAGTAAAGAAAACAGTAAAATTAACTTTTTTAGAAATATATTTTCAAATTCCAATGTAACTTCACATAACAAGGTTATGAAGCTGATTAATCCAAAACCAGTCCTGTTAATTGATGTACTTCAGATGACTGTTACAATTAATGACTCTGGGCTTTACGGCAGTGGACGTAAAATCTATGTCCGTTAATGAATGTATCATAAGACGCACCCAAATGACTGTCTTATGGGATGTTTCTCCGTATAGCCTGATATATGTTCACCGGTGTTACAGAGGCGACTACCGCCTCCATTATCGGGACGATGATACCAGAAGTCAGTCATCGTCTCACACTCATCTAAATTTATTCACTTTTGGTATATTTAAGAAATTTTTCGGTAGCTCAGAAAATGTAGCGTTGAATGACAGGATAATTAATGAGCAGTAAGTTAGAAATAATACAGAAGGAAACCGTTGTTGCTTAATTTATGACACACTCTTGGAATTTTCCTGGAGGGTCTAAGTAAAACCACGAAAACCCCCATTCAATACAGACGGCCTCCGATCTAGGATATGAACCTTCTCCATAAAATATGAACTAAATCTATAACTTCTTTTGTAGGTCTGAAAATATTTTTCACTATTAATACATCCGCTGTGGATATAAATAGAGCAGTTTATGGGAATTCAATGCAGCGCCAAGCTAAAAATAAATGGAACGATAAAAGAACATAAAACAGGTATTATTGATAGGCAGTAAAGTTATACATAACTGCAGTGAGTGTAAAGTTCCGATAATTAACCGCAGTGACTGAATGCATTTTGTTACAAGTTATGTCATGCTTAAAATTACCTAACGAAAATACCACGCAAAAGGTCACTGACCAAACAGCACTACACGTGCATGAGAGTATCTGCAAGATCATGGAACTGCAGTGGTCAAACTAGATGCAAGTTTGTTCCTGTCTTTTTATATATTGCAGCAGCTACGTCGAGTGGGCTACACTTCCTTCTATACGAACACAGCGCCTTTCAAACTGTGGGGCAGCTGACAGCTGAATTCCTTCAAGAAACGAGCAGTACGTATTATGATGCGACGATGATTTAGTGAAGATATTCTTCAGCTTAAGAACCACGCCATGAAGAAGTATGCAGAGTGCATTCTTAACCATGGTAGCGTATAAGGATTAAGTGGTGAGCTTCGGGTTCTTGCTACATTACGACCGGGGCAGACCCCGGAACCAAACGTCAAAGAGAATACGCAGGCTCAAGAACAGTTCTGGACGTTATGGAACCAAAATGTGGTGGTCCAGCCCGTATCCAGCCACTTAACTAACTGGGCTAATAATTCAATTCATTCATTCATTTAATTAAGTGCTTGACAACAGCCCAAAAGGCCAATAACAGCCAAGCACTAACAAAAATACAGAAAAAAATAATAATATTAGTAGTGAACA